CAGTTGAGGGGAGGGAGCACGTTGGCAGGCCTCTTGAGCCTTTCCAGAACGAGATGAGGTTTGACATCCATCCTGTAAACATCCCATCCTCTGCTGGACAAGTCTGCCCTCACCTCCTCTGCCTCTCGCCTTGATCAGGCTGCGGTACCAACTCTCCCCTCCTCGGCACTTGAGTCTGAGCCTCTTCCCAAGCTCCTGAGCACACCCTGAGCAGCAAGCTTGGCGCAGATCTCACTGTCAGGGTTTCCATCCCTGCAGTCACTTGACCCTTTCCCTGCTCTGTCGTGCTGAACTGGCCGCTACAGTGGAAAACAAAAACAAGACACATAGGCAGGCAGGTATCACAAGCAGTGTCCCAGCTGAAAGCAAACTGCGATGGAGCTGTGTGCCTCTTCCTACAGCCAATTTCCCCTCGGGGACCTAGAAATGGCAGAAGAGCAGAAACTAAGTCACTGCTCCCTCCCCTCTTCTACACAGAAAATGCAAAGAGCTCCCATGTGCCTGGGGACCAGAGTAGAAAAACAAACGGCCTTTGGGAAACAAAAGCCTTGCCAACCCTCATCTCCAGCCTGGATCCCCAGACAGGGAGAGCCCACAGCTAAGCAGGTACAGACCCCAAACTGCAGGGCAAAGGGGACCTCCCAAAGCCTCAGCACTGACCCCTTGTGCCTCTCCCACTCTCTCCACACCAGAACCGGTGCTTGGGAAAGACCAGAGCTTTAAGCAGAGGGAGCAGGAGCAAGGGCTGGCTTCACCGCATCACTGCATCCCTGCTGCGTTTCCCGAGGTGCTGCTGGCCTCTGGTGGCAGGCAGGCTTGGCCACACCACAACCCACAGTGGGGACCCCCCCCTCTGCAGAACGACACGTGGCTGCATCTGCAGGGGAACAGCAGGGCTGCACGCTGCTGGGAAGCACATGAGGAACACGCTGACCACCACGTCCCCCTCACCACAAGGGTGACACCTCCCACAGGTAAGTGCTTGTGAGCCAGCACCTGAGCTCTAAGGGGGAGCAAAGGCAGCAGAGGAGGAAGGCAGGAACCCAGCTGGGTGCCCTCCTCATTAACAGATTAAAATGCCTTTTAAAACCCACTGCCTGATGATCTGTGCTCCCTTCCCCACCTAGCACAGCACAGATAACGAAGGACGGCATACCTGTCATCCCTGGGGTCCTCCTCCTGCCCAGCGTTGGCTGCTGGCTCCACCTTCATAGCTGGCTCTGGCGACATCCCGAGCACATCCCGAGATCCCAGCCGGATCTCTCCATGTCCCCGTTCACAACTGCTGTCCTCCTTGAGCTCCCATCACACCGCTGCACACAGCCTCTGCGCAGGCTGCTCAGAAGAGCGAGGAGGGAGGGTTGAGCCCAGCTCCTTACACACCACACGTTATCCTCCACCCTGCACCCTCGCCAGCCTCAGCCCAGCTTTAGCCGCGGGCCCCATCCAACTCCTTCCGATGCCAAGACACAACGAGCTCCCGGTGAGGCACTGGGAATGCAGAGCCCCAGTGCCACCAGCCACCCAGGCTACAAGGCAGGGTGGCCCAGGGGATGGGTAGCATGTGAGATGCCAGTCATGGGCCACGAGGAGCACTGTTGCTAGAAGACGTCAGCGCAGACCAGCAGCCCCTGCAGAGGGGCCAGTCAGCCCAAAGAGCCCCAGGGAGGCCAGCCTTGCACAGCAAGCATCACGCACATAGAGACATGCTGCAGCGTGCAGGGAGTCCTGGAGAGGTCAGCCCTTCAGCACCTCCTCTCAGCTCCCACCTTGCACAGCGGAAAGAGAAGCACAAGTCAGGCCAGACCTGAGGAATATCCATGGGTAAGAGCCGATGGCATGTGCTCCCCACAGAGAACAGCACCCCCCCCAGAAAGCACAGGCACCCCTTCCTCGAGAGGTGGCTGCCAATCATCCCCCTTCTCTCCTCCAGCACCACCACCACCTCTGCAGCTTGCCTGGGGAGCACTTACTTGCCATGCTGCCTCACTCGGCTACAGGGGGCTCCTGCCTACCTGCAGGGAAGAAAACAGGAGAGTCACTGACAGCTTAAATGTCACCCCTGAAGCCCAAGACCTCCGTTGCCCAGGGTGAGGTTCATGCAGGAAGCAGGGTGCTGCCTGGTGGGCCCACGGCAGTGCCTCCTCAGAGAGCCAGGGGCTCATGCTGCCTCCCCACTTATTGCACTGCTGGAGGGGCTCAGGGCACCCTCAGCTCCCCGACAGCCTAGGGCAGGTCTCTGCTGTCCTTGTGCTGCACCAGCCCAGGGCCCTGCCCAAGAAGCCCAGAGGGCTGCAAATAAGAGAAGTAGAAAAATAACTGGCTGAAGGAGAGTCCCCATATCTCATCAGCACACGAGATGACCTGCATGTCAGAAGCAGTCTGGTGCTCTTCCCCTCCACAAGAGATTGATGGATACAGGTAAAGCAGTCATCCTGTTTTCAGCAGCTTCACAGCCGTGCCAGTTCTCACCTCTGCAACTCCTACCCACAATCTGCAATAAACAGGGCCATGCTATTTTCTCCACTGCCATAAAACTGACTACACTGCAGGAAAGCAAAGGATATGCATCCCTTAAAGGTTGTTGGACCAAGCTAAGGGCAGCGGTAAGAGTGGCAGAGCTCCCTGCACACCACCAACAGCTCTCCAACTAGAAAAGCAAAACCACACTGAAGATAACCCTACAAGAGTGAAACAAAGTCCTGCAGAAGCAGACTATATCCCTCTCTGCTCGCAGGAGGAGTTTCACTCACTTGCTTTTCATGCTTTGTCTTGTCCCTGTGCTCAATGCCCCACTGATCAGACGTAGGGGGCAAACTTATCTTCTCCTGCCCTGTGTGACACCTTGCTTTGGCAAAGCCATAACTCTGTCAGGAGCCAGAAGGGACTGGATTAACTAGCTCCTACACTGATTTACTGTGGATGAAGGAGCAGTTAGAAACAGCAGGAACTAAACCACATGCTGACTTCAGGTTCAGGACTTCAGATATTCAGAGTTATCCCAAAAGCACTTGAATCCGCTGAACTGCAGCAAGGTCAGCGACAGCACAGAGCCCTTCCCGGGGTCAGTGGGGCTAGGAACACATTTCTCATTGCACACAGACACACAGCAGGGCTTATGCACAGCACCCCAGCGGGCACCACCACTCCTCACCCACAGCCACCTTCTCAGTAAATCTAGCACCAGGAGGCCTTTTCCTCAAGGAACTGTGCACCCAATCCCACTTCTGAGTTGTCCTGGGGCATGTGGGAGCAGCTGGGAAGCCTCTGGATCTGTGCACCCCCCCCCACAGCTCTGAGCAGGGACCATCCAACCTGCTTTTGCTGTCATCAATCTTTACAGAGAGACCCAAACCTACAGGACAAATAACACATGTAGAACACACACAGAATGGGAAACTTGCCCCTGTTTCCATTAAAACCCCTGTATCACTCATAGTTACAGGCATTCCCCCCATCTGGTGAACAGAGGATGCAGAAGTAAGGGTATTGTCAGGATCCTGAGCTCCATAACTCACGCCATACATCGGGCAACACGTTTAATGCATCAGGAAGATTTTTATCCTAAACTTTTTTCCCAAGTATCCACGTCAATGCACTCAGTATCAGAGCTCAGAGGTGGTTTATTCCAGTGCCACAACAAGACAGGTCTACATAAGCCTACAGGCATGAGCGATGCCTGCGAGTAGGGCAGACATCCCAGACACTTATTTTTGTTTCCACACGCAAATCCCTCACCACCACCCCCGGCTCCAGCACGCAGGAAAAGCTGCTCCCCCAGCCAAGGCAGGCAGCATCCCTCCTGCCCCCGCACAGCCACGCAAGCTGAGAGCAGCCGAAAGCTGGAGGCTGACCCAGCAGACACCCACCCAGTCCCGGTTCTATCCCCACCCCCTCGCTTCCCAACACGCGTTCGCCTCCTCTATAAATACCCCATCGATGGAGGTTGCTACGGCAACCGTGAGGAGGCGCGAGGGATGCAGCCATGAGAGTGAGGATGCTGCAGTCGCACATTCGTGTCTCCCCCGGGCTCCCCCCATTCCGTCACCGATCCCAAAGGAGGGAATCGTGCTGGTGAAACATGGAGTGTGCGTGATGCCGGCAGAGCCTGAACGGGCATGGGAGCGGGGGCACACACCGGGACGTGGCACCTCCTCGGCAGGCTGGGGGGCACAGGGACGGGTCAGGGGATCCACCCTGGGCAGTGCCAGCATGCGGGCAGGCAGCTGGCTCTGCCGGCACCACGGCTGCCAGCCGCCCGGCAGGATTCCAGCGGTACTGGGGGGGTTCCGTGCCAAGATGCACAGAGGAGAAGGGGCTGCTCGGGCTCCGCTTGCCAAGGGACCGCGGGGTCCCCACGGGTTGTTAGCAAGCCTCGTCCTCCCGGAACAGCCTTCGGGTCCCACCCGGCCCCTCCATCCCAGCACCGGCTCTGCCCAATCCCAACTCCAAGTTACTTCCACCAGCCTCCAGTGTGCCCCCGCCCCGGGGTCCCCCAAGCCCACACGTGAACTTGCCCAACCGAGGCGAACCCCCCCACCATCACACCCCTGCCCCACCGCCGCAGCTCCCCTGTTCCCCAGACGCCCCTTGCCAGATCCACGACCCCGATTCCCACCTCGCACCCGGCCCAGGACCCTCGCCCCACGCCGCCCTTACCTCATGGCGGCCCCGCCGCAGCCGCTCCCTCCCGCCGACAGGGAGCGGATGGGAAAGCCCCGCCCCTGCCCCGCCTCGCCCCGCCCCGGTATCGCCCCTTGACCAATCGGATTCCCCGCAGCCAGCACGCAATAGACGAGCGGAAGGGCGGTGATGGGCGGGGTCACACGCTCCGCCCCCAACCCGGGAGCGGCTAGTAGCCAATGAGAAACGGCTACGGCTGCGGGGCCGTGCCGCAGTGGCTGCTGGGAGTTGTAGTCCCCTGCCCGGGGTGAAGTCGCCGCCGAGGGCCGGTGTCCCCGGGTCCTATGCCCGTTACTGCCCGCACCTCCGCGGTGCCCTCACGCCGGCCTGGCAGCACTGCCTGCATGCGGCGGGGAGCCTGCAGGCATGGCCCCTGCCTCTTCCTCCTCTTCTTCCTCCTCCTCTTCATCCTCCTCTTCTTCATCCTCCTCACTGCCCGAGTCTTCGTAGAGGCAGAGGGTTGCCTGCACGGGGAAGTTCTGCAGCAGCTTCTCCCCCACGGCATACAGATAGTCAAAGGACTTGGATCTGGGCCACAGCAGCCTGTGGGGAGACGCGGGGTGAGGCGGGTGAGACACAACCCCCCTCGCCCGCTGCCCTCGGTGCCACCGGACACCGGCTGCATGGTTCTTACCTGACGGGGTGGTGGAAAAACGCCAGCGCTTTGTCGGGGCCGCCGTCTGCCGCTGCCTCCCGAGGCCGAGCCTGAGGAGACACGGTTGTGGTGGGACCAGCCCTGGGGCTCCTGCCGCGGGGTGCGTGGGGACCCCGTTGGCAGCAAGACCCTTCCCTCCATAGACCTGTCAGACGGGTCAGCCTGCCCTGGAGCCGGCTTCTCCCCCCTCCTCTGCCATGGGTTTAGGTCCTCATGCCCCCGCAAAGGAAGCTGGCGCCTATTCCCACCGCCACCGCCCCCGACGGGCTTTTGGCCAGCGTAATCTCCCTGCCCCGTGCTCATGGCCGGGCGTCCCGATAACCCCCTGAGGAATGCTTGCCTGGGCTGGGAACAGGCAGCCCTTTGAGCCCCGTGCTGTGGGTGCTTGGCCATACCCCAGCGAGGCTGCGAGGCTTGTGGGGCAGAGGACTGATGCGCCATGGGAGGTGGGCACCGCACTGCCATGCACCAGTGCCGGGGTGAAGGAGTCTGGGGCGAGAAGCTGGTTTCTGCCAAAGAGACCCCAATCCTGACAGCAGGAAACGGGCGGGAGCGTAAAACTCACCGTGTCCATCTGCTCCCTCCGCTGACGGGTTCCCTCCTCTGCTCGGGGCAGCCACGGTCTCCAGAGGGGTCTAGGTGCAGAGAGCAGGGTCAGTACAACACACACCCACCCTGTCCCACTCCCCCCTGCCTTGCCCCCCTCACTGCCCCATGTACTCCAGCCCCACAGCCTCGCCTGCCCAGCTCAGCCCATGCCCGTGAGTGTGGCTGGAGCGCTAGGCACACGAGGGTGCTTTCATGCTACCTTGGCCTCAATGCTCCTCACCCTGCTTCAGCCTCAGCATCCCTGGGAGTCCCCAGCATTGCTCCCGGGCTCTACACTCTCTCTCCCACCCCGGCCACTGGGATCAGAGGGGTCCCCATTGGAAGGATCCCCAGCTGAAGCCTTCCCCACTCCTCCCCAGACCCCCCCATGCCGTGGTACCCAGGTACCTTCCCCCCGGCCCCAGCCGCGGGGCTCCGTGAGCACTGGCCACAGGCACCCGGAGCCCATGGGGAGGCAAGCAGCAAGCAGCAGCTTCCATGGTGGCAGGAAGCCGTGTCCCCTCTGACGCTGCAGCCCCTTGGTGAGGACACCTTTATAGCCCTGCCGCGGCTGGTGAGTCACAGATTCTTCAGGGCAGGGGTCTGAGGGGCTGGGGGTGCAGGAACAGCTTCCCCGGAGTGTGAAATTTGTCCCAGTTGTGTAAACAGAGGGTCGGGGGGAGGCTGGGGGCGGAGGGGCTGTGGAAATCAAAACACAGAAGGGAAAAGTTAGACGCCGTTCGTGAGAAAATCCCCAGGGGGGAACAGGGGAGGGCAGAGACAATTAACCAGGATAATTAAGTGCTGTTTGTGGCCATTTGCATACGGCAGGGTGGAGAAGGGATGTTGGACGGTTTGGGCAGCGTGATGGCCATGGGATGTGGACAGCACAATGGGCATGATGAGGATCGTGTCACGGGCGTGCTCTGGGACAGGGTGATGGGGACAGTGTGACAGGCTGCAGTGGCGGCGAGCACAGAGCAATTAGGAGGCAAGTGGTGGTATGCTCAAGAGAGGACAGGGAGGGAGGGCAGATGGCAAGGATGGACCCCAGGCACAGGCAGGACAATTGTCCTGCTCAGGCACCCGTGGCCCCTGCTCAGATCGCCCCAGGGAGCTCCTAGGCTCTGTTTCTACACTGCCAGCACATGCTTTCCCCTGCTCCCTCCCGTCTCCTTTGGCTTTTTGAGCTGAGGACCATACTGGGAGGTGGAGGAGCTTCTCAATACAAGGGTGCAAGGCTTGCTCCCCCCCGCCTCAGCACCACCACATGTCCTGTCCCTGCCGCTGCTCCTGCCCAGCGCTCAAGGAAGGGTTTCAATATGGGACAAGGAAAGAAAATAGCAAATGGTCCCTGCTGTAGCTGTGCTGTCAGCATCCAAACATCTCTGTCCAAACACGGGACAGACCCTCAGCTCCCAGCACAATTTGTCACCAGGGGCCCTCCCTGCCCCTCTCCATCTGCAGCAGCCGGTGAGAGGGAGGGGGCACGGGGCCAGCGCAGCCTCATTACTGTCCCCATTTGCTCCTCATTTGGGCCAAGGGTCTTATAACAACAAACCCTGTGGAGGACCAGCAGGGCCAGGAGGAGAGAAGCAAAAGCCCAGGCTCACTCTGTGGGCACAGGGAGCTCAACCTGTTGGCATTTCACTGCCCCTTCTGACACAGCTCGAAGCAGACACATGGACCATGGCATGTGGTCACCCATCAGCCACCAAGGTGACAGTAAGCCACAGCCCTGAACCACTTGGACAAGCCTGCTGTGATAATTAACAAACAAGAAAAACGAGGCATTGCAACTCCCTTCCCGATGCCGAAAGGGTTTAATGCTGAGGTGCAGTAAGCCTCTGATCCAGGCGGAGATTTGCAGATGGATTTTGCAAAGCCGTCGCTAAACAACTCGCAACCCCTGATCCCGAGGGACGGGGCTCTGGGTGCTCACCCTGCCCTGATCGAATGCCTCTGGTTCTTGCTAGGGTGATCCCTGGCCACCCTAGCTCCTGCTCTGTGTCATCAGCCACCTCTGTAAGTACCACAGCACCCCTGATGTGGAGCGGGAGGTCTTGGTTAGCACATAGGAAAGGAGGCAGAAAGTTGGGAAGCGCTGGTATGAAGCATTTGAGGTGCTGGGGGGGGACACAGGGACAGGAGCGCGGTACAGGGGCGTGGTGGCACTCGCATCCGGGACCGTTCCCAGGGCGGTGTTGCCACACTGGAGTGTTTTGGGCTCAGTCCGGTTTCGCAATAGGCTGTGGGAGGGGGAATTTAGAAAGCAGGCAGAAGGAAAACAAACCACCCCACCGCACTGCCGCTGCCAACCAACCCCCCTCCACACCCAGCGCTGCGGGCAGGAGAGGAGCCCCACTGGTGGCAGCGAGCACGAGCTGCTCCCCAGTGTGGTCATCACCCCACCGAGGGACAGGTCACCCTGCTTGGCCAGGGGAAGCATCCCTGAGGCACTGACAGTGTGCTCTGCCCTGATGTAATTCTGTCCTAAAGGGACCTCCGGGCTCTCCTGGGGACACTGGCGTCACTGTCACGTGCATCCCTCCTCATCGTTGTCCTCAGTGGCATGGGAAGGGCAATAACCATAGTGGAGCTTCCTTAGCTCAGGACATCACAGGAGACGAGGCACCCCCAGGGAGGAAGTGGGCACTTTCTCCCCACCAGCACCCAGCCCTCCATCCCTGCCCGCAGCCCTGGCGCAAGGGAGGGCTTTGGCATCCTTCCCAGGCAGCACTGCCCAGCCTCTGAAGTCTGGCTGGGAGATAGGGAGATGAAAGGGCGCTTGGCGCTCCTCCGCAGGCTTGGGTCAATCGTTAATCGGGGAGGGATCGCTCTCCACTCCTGCAGGTAACCTCCCCCCGCCTCCCACCCACAAAAGCAGAGCCCCCCAGAGCTGCGGCACAGCCAGCGGGGCCATGGGGAGCTGAGCACACACGGAGAGAGGAGCTGCGAGCCTGGGGAGGTGACAGCCAGCCCCCGTCATGGTCTCCATGGGACTTCAGCTGCTGGGCTACGCCGTGGCCTTCCTGGGCTATATCGGCACGCTGGTGGCCACGCTGCTGCCCAGCTGGAAGACCAGCTCCTACGTCGGCGCCAGCATCGTGACAGCCGTGAGCTTCACCAAGGGGCTGTGGATGGAGTGTGCCACGTACAGCACGGGCATCACCCAGTGCGACATCTACAGCTCGCTGCTCAACCTGCCCGCCGACATCCAGGCGGCACAAGCCCTGATGGTGAGCTCCTGCGCCGTGTCCTCCCTCGCCTGCGTCCTCACCATCGTGGGCATGAGGTGCACTGTCTTCAGCCAGGGCTCACCGGCCAAGGACCGGGTGGCGGTGGCGGGCGGCGCAGTCTTTGTGCTCGGGGGGCTGCTCTGCTTCATCCCGCTGGTGTGGAACATCCACGTGGTGCTGCGGGATTTCCGCAACCCCGTCATCCCCGACAGCATGAAGTTCGAGCTCGGGGAGGCGCTTTACCTGGGCATCATCTCCTCCCTCCTCTCCCTCGTCGGCGGCTTCATCCTCTGCACCTCCTGCCCTGCACGGGACACCACGGCCACATATGCAAACACCTACCAGCCCCGGCTGCTGGTGGGCAAGAGCTGCCGGCCCTCCGCCAGCCACACACAGAAGACCAAGAGCGAGCTCAGCTCCTACAACCTGACGGGATACGTGTAGTAAGGGCTGCAGCGGGGAACAGGGCTGGCACCTCTCCTGGCTCTCCAAAGCATCTGGGCTGGCACCAAAGCAGCGTGGTAAGAGAGGACACAGCAGCATCCCCAGTGATTGCGACGTTTGACTCTGGGGATCTGGAGAGCCTTGTGACTGCTCAGAGCTCCCAGCTAGAGGCTTACATTGGTGAAGGACCCTCAATCCAGCTTCTGTTCCCCTCTCCATGCTGCCAGCCTGCAGGCAGACCCTGGCACAGCAGATCCCAGCCTGCAGCCCCACTGAGCCTGCTTGGATGGGAATGGGTGGGCTTGTACCCCAAGGGACCACGGGGACCAGGTATCACAGTGGGGCCAGGGTGTCTGCACGGCTCCGGAGTCACTGCTGTGGGGCTCGAGTGCTGGTTGCAAACTGATGTCTCAATAAATCTGTGTTTCCAGCCAGGCTGTGGCTGAGCTTTCCTGCAGCACCGAGCAGCCCTGGCAGCTCCCCCCTCAGGGTGGGCACTGGCAAGGGCCACATCCTATAGTGTACAGGGCACCCCTTGCTCTGATCTGTGGTGTCACCCCCCAGTCCCATGGCTTTGCCACCCAGGAGCCCAGGTAGGTGGGAATGCTGTTGGGGTGGGGGGGATCCCTCCCCTGCGTGGTTTGTACCTGGGCACTGTGCTGGGAGGTTGCCACCATGGTGAGGGTGCCAGCAGGGACAAGTGGGCTAATAGCAGGCAATGTCCCCCTGCCAGTCCCGCTGCTTCTCAGTGTGCAGGTATCATTGGGTGTGAGGTGCCCACAGGGGGATTTGCTGCCCTGGGGTGCATGTGGTCCCCAGGCGATGGGGAGAGCCCTGGAATCACCACATCTCCATCCCAGGATGCTGCGAGCACCGGCACCCAGGAGATAGCATAGTCCCAAGCACCAGAGGCAGCCGCTGGCCAGGGCAGAGACTGAGCACCTCAACCCAGTGTGGATGGGTCTCACAGGCAGGTCCTGAACCCAGGGGTCCCTGCAAGAGCTGTTCTGAAGAGGAAAAGTGAGACATTGG